AAATATAAATAAAAATCAATTCAACATAAATAACTAAACCAACAATTAACAAATTTGTTCTAAATATAAACAAAGATTAATCCAAGTTAAACTAAAACATAAGTAAAAATTAAACCAACATATAAAAAAAAATCAGTATTTTGAAAATAAAGAAAATCAATACCAAGAAGGGTAAGGCCGTAACAGAACCGCATATGGCTTTGGCAGTCCAAATAACAGCAAGCAGATGGCTTCAGCAATTTGGAAGCAGCAAGTAGATGGCTTTGGCAGCAGCAGACCAGTAGTGCAGTGGAGGGAATGGGATTTGAGATGATCCTGCCAGTGCAAAAGAGAAAATAAGGGATGGCAGAAGGTGAGTACTGAGAAAGGTAAGGGTAGAATCGTAAAAGGGTGGCAATGGAATGGAGGGCATTCAGATGATAGAGTCGCATAATAGAAGGAGAGGGAAAGCCGGGGAAGGTAAAAATAAAAATTAAGAGATAAATTAGGGTTAAGGTTAAATGTAAGTAGGGGAATGGGTTGAGTTAATTTTTATGAGTTGGGTTGGGTTGGGTTGGGTTAGGTAAAATTAAGTTAAGTTTAATTTTGATTGAATTGGATTTCAACTTGAGTTTGAGTTTAAGTTTAAATTTCAAAGGTGAATTAAATTTAAAATAAAATTATTTTATATTTGTTTTAATTTTTACGAGGGTGGGGATCCTCGTGAGGCCCCATGGAGTGGGAAAATTTTCTCGTGAAATTTTGTGGGGAAAAAATGCTCTCCATCCTCGTCTTGAGAGAAAAAAATATTTTTTCTCATTCTGTCTTTGTGATAGAAATCCTCACGGAACCTGCAAGAATAAAGAGAAATTGTTATCCCTAAGTGTGTGTTGATGTTGATGTTTGTTTGGTTGTCGATTGTTTTGAACAATGCATTTCTGTTTCCAGCTTTGCAACTTCACTTGGATAAGAACTAGCATCCCAAAGCTGAGATTGCATTTTTTGGTTTTTTGAACAACCATGAAACAAGCTGAGATTGCATTCAAGCTTGTCTCAGAGGGTAGAATCTTCATTGAATCTCATTTTCATTTAAAAAACATTTTTTTTAGCATTTATTTTTTTTTTAACCGGGGAAATAATTAGAAGTTAGAAATTAGAAATTAGAAGTTAGGTTAGTATCTGTTCATAGTAAGGTTCGACCATTAATTAAGAATGTAATTCACTGATAACTTTGTTGGGTTACAGTGATCATCAATGGATAACAACAAGAAAATACTGTTTAGCATTTAATTAATTCCTCTGTGCGCGTGTTTTTTTTATTTTTGGTTGGAAGTTTGTCACCACGGTGAAAAAATGGTTTCTTTTGAGGGATTTAAGTTGGTTTTTAACCTGAAGAATTCCATTTCCTTTTACCTCCCTCATGTCCCTTTCTTTCAGAATTAAAAAATAATAATAATAATAAAGTAAATAAATGATTATCCTCTCCTTCCCTTCCTTTTAGTTTTTTTAATAATAAAAAAATTTCTCTCTCCTCTCTTTCTCTTCAACCCAAAGACTGCAAGAAGAGAGCATTCAACTTAGTTTCTTTCTTTCTTTTTCCATTTTTTTTTTTTTCCAAACAGCAGGTTTTTTTTTTTTTTTGAACCAGTACAATTAATGGGATGGGAACGGAGAATGGGATTACTAAGGCTTGAATCTTGAATTTATAGATGTAACTACTCTTCTCTCCTGCCGTTGGGCACAATGTCGGTTGGCTGTAGGGATGTTAGCGGGTTGGGAAGTTCATCCCGTCCCCCAAATGGTGGGAATGGGATTCCCGTGAAGATATTTTAAAAGGGGCAAATCTTACCCCATTTTCATTTTTGGTGAAGATCCTCATTCCTGTCAACTAATATAAAAAATTATTTTATATATAATTAAT